CAAACTGTTTAAAACTGTCCACCAGGCACACAGTTCAAACTGTCCGTCCGACCGATAGATAGAATGGTTCATACTGCCAGCCATTTGCACGATAGATAGTTTTCTGTCTCCACGGACCTAGTTATGCGTGTGTTGTGCAGGTTTGAATTGACTTTTGGTCTGGGTTTATTTTTACGAATGAGACTGAATCCCGATAAGTCGAATTTTTAAATTAATTATTTTTTACAAGTACGATGGTGTAGTCCTATTTCTGTTTAGATTGCTACGGTTGGATCCTCGGAGTTTTCATTTTTTGTTGAAAATTTAGATTAAATATTGGGTTTGGGTCCAATTAGTTTTTTTAATTTAATTCTTGAGTCGTTTTCGGACCACAAATAATTGTTAATTTATTGCTTATGAATAATTTGAATTATTGTTTGAAATATTATTGTTCTAGATATCATAACATATAATTTTATTTGTGATATTGCTCATGATACTATAATTAGGATGCATATCATTGAATACCGATTTTTCTTTGATTAGTTTAATTTAGATTAAATTTTTTTGGATAGAAAAATGGTAATAATTAAACTGTATATTAATTTGATTAATGTGAACAATTGATAATAATTTAAAATTTCTGTGATCAATTTAATTTAGATTGAATTTTGCTGGAAGGAAAATTCTTAATAATTAAGCTGTATATTAATTTATTTAATGTGAACATTTGGTAATTATTTAAAATTTATGTGATCAATTTAATTTAGATTGAATTTTGCTGGAAGGAAAATTCGTAATAATTAAGCTGTATATTAATTTATTTAATGTGAACATTTGGTAATTATTTTAAATTAAAATTCATTACTTTAAAAATAATGAGTGGGATATGGTGTTTATTTAAATAAAAACTCGTGGTCTCCTTTGGTCAATCCATAAGCAAAGTAACACGTTTGCCTCGCATCGGTAATGCAACAGACTCCCTATAGGAGGGCTGCGTAGTTAGAGTTGCTTGATTGAATTTCTTTATGATAAGATATTCTCAATGTAATATAATTTGTGATCATCCTATAAATGACAAAATTAATTTCAAGTGTTTAGAAATCGAGACAAAGGTTATACACTTAAATCGAGATCATCTACGTACATCATATAGATGCTCTCGTTTATGATTTTGGTGACCAAATAAAACGATACTAATCTTGTATGGACGTTTGTCGTCAAATATGATTTGTTTAGCGAGAGGGTCCCAACTTGATCAATGGGCACAGTGATCTTTTCTATAGAAGGGCATGTTGGATCACAAAAAGAGGATCACAAGGATCAAGTAGTCGTTGCATTATTGTAATTGGATTGATCTATATGTGCATTCATGCATTATATACAAAATTGTTTTCTCGCTGCTCATTTTTAATATGCTATGGATGGTTAATTTTTTATGCAAAATATCCCTTGGCCCATTTTTCGTTATTCTAAAACAAAGCCAACTAATTAGAAACAATTATGTGGATTGGAATCTAGGTTAGAGATATGTCTGTTTGGGACACCCTAAAGATATTAAGAGATAATTTTTTTTGTTCCTCTAGATAGAAACAAATTCAACCTTCTTGCAGGATAAGTATATTAATAATCGTCAATCCAAGAATAATGTCGTGTTGAAAGAAATGAGTGCAAACAGTTCCACAACATCAATTCCTAGAACAACAAACCCGGGATAGACATCCCATGGTGTCAAATATAACTGGACAACGTGATCTGAGTAGGAGATATGAGTTGTCATCTAATGCAGTAGATCAATAGAATGTTGAAGGTAATGAGGTAAAATGGCATCACCTAATGGTAATGCCAGCATTGATGAAAATATTACGTTCCAAATGACGTCACAGTCCAAGATCAATTGTCCCTTAGACAAAGTCGGATGATTATCAGTTGACCTTCAAGGTACTTGTTGAGTAGAGAGTCCAATTTGGTGATCTCCATGGTACAAGTTGATGATCTGATTCTATATAAGAAAGCTATGGATGATGTAGATGCAACGATATATTTATAGATCAAGGCAGACATGGAAATCTTGGAATAAGGTATTCGGCAAAGTGATTAAGACATATGATTATTTATGCTCGTACCTAATTATCGAATTTTGAATGTGGATAAAATACATATACGGCAGGTCAGAGGAAAATATTATAGACTTATTCATTTTTGTTATCTTGTATCTTACAAGAGTTTAGTCTTTTGCCTTTTAATGAAAAATCAGAGATTAATAATTAGATTGGGTGGTCTTGGATAGTATATATATGATTTAATTATTGGAGTTTAGATAATTTATGTCTGATTAGGTCCCTATGGCAGCTCCTTAAGTATTGAGACTTAATTACAATAATTATAATAGTTATGGACTTAATTATAATTATAATAAAGTTTTGTACTTAATTATAATTATTATAAAAATCGCAAAATTAATTATAATTGTAATTGAAGTTCCAGGACCACGTGTAATTAAATCATTTGATTAACCTACATTTGAAATATTAAAACTCCTATTTGAAATTGGAATTATTATTATGGCCCTGTTTGGTACACATTATTTTTTTCATTCTCATTCTTCTACTCATTTTCAACCATACATTTTTCAATAAAATAATGTTTTCATCAAATCAATAACTTTTCCTTCATTTTTAACCACACATTCTTCATCAATTTAGTATTCAATAATACATTCTTTCAAAAGAATGTGTCCCAAACACACTCTATGTATGGATTGGAGCATATTTATCTCCATAAATAGAGACTAGATGGATGTAGAAATTTGAGAACAATCATAATACATAATTCTATAGTGTTCAAATTGGAGAGAAAGAGTGTGACAAATTATTTTTATTTTTCTCATTGTCCAATCTAAGAAATTAGTTTCTTAATTTAACTAAAAGAAGGTCAACTCATCAGTCTAGTCTTATCTTAGACGAATACCATAGAAGACTTGGAGGTTTAGAGCATCAAGTTGTTGCAAATAAAAATAACTGGAAGCTCTTGATTCAAAAAGCTGAAAATTCGTGATTCATCCAGTTCAAGAATTGATCATCGAATTAAGTAAAAATTTGATCTTGTTTACTGAATTAAAGAAATTTTTTAATTTCTGGATAATTCCACTCTGGCATTCCAACAACGTACACGTAATTTGCAAAGGCATGAGAATGATTTTTGTGATCTGGGACACAGTTTTGCTCGGTTGTCTAAAAATTTGTATTCCCATATGGTGTATTTGGGGAATCGTGATAGGGCATAACGACGGGGAACGAAGACAGTATTTAGTTGGAGGGTTAAAAAGGGGAAGAATGTGGATTCTACGTGAGTAATCAGGCATCTTAGCTGATGCAAGGTTATCTGCAAAGAGAGACGAAGTCGGTCCTTACTCGCCAAGGTAAATTCATAGTGGTTGAAGTCGAATGCAATGCATCACACAAGACAATTTCAATATTCCAATTTGATCGAGTTGACCCGTCGGTTGACCGAGTTAATCGACGACTTTTATATTAAACTGGCCTGATTGACTGGTTTGACTGAATTTCAAAAAATTTCCCTTAAATTTTTAGCGTTCAAAAGATTTGAATCTTGGACCTTAAGGTAAGGTGAGTAATGCCTAACCAATAGTTTATTATTATTTGTTTGCAATAATATATATACATGTAAATCATTCATAGTTTGTTAAAAATATTTTTTTTAAAAAAATTATAATCCTAATTTTAATTAAAATGAATTGAATGTTTAACAAAATAATCTAAAAATATATAAATAATTAATGACAAATAACTTTAAAAAATTAAATTTATCTCAAATAAAAATTTTTATACTTTTTAAATTTTTTTTAGAACTTTAAGCACCGACCCACTCGTCCAACCACTAATCCACCGATTCGACCAATAACTCGAGACCCAATACCACGAAAAAATTAATGTCCAGATCAGGTCTAATAACTATGGAAGACATAGTCTCTGTTTGGGCTCCATTTTTTCAAAAATGTATTTTTTTAAAACTTATTTTCAACCACATTCTTCCATAAAATAATATTACACATAAACCTAAAATATCTAGTTATTTTTGAACCACATTCTCCAAAAAACTATTCCAAATTTCATTTTAATGAAACCCAAATAGTTAAAAGAGTGAAATTGAAATATTTCAAATTGCTCTTCAATTATCAAATAATGGTGCAAGAATAAGTATGGGCCTAACTAGAAGTACCACGATATCCACATTATCAAGGGACCTCATATGGACATATTTGATACAAGGAAGTCAATATGATAGTATTCGTAATATACTTGCATTCTTGACTTCTAGCTCCTACATATTTTTCACTGATTTTGATGCATCTAAGGCAGGTAGTTGTTACCTTGATAGAAGTGGTAATTCCATAATATTAATTTATTTTCACTTCCACATATAATACTCTCTCTATTACCCGCTAAAACTACACCCTAAACCTGCTTGTAAAATAAGGATGCCTAAAGCGGTTATAACTGGCTCGCTCATATTTTCAGCTAGACTAAGTCACAAAACCAAGTGGAAAGCTTCCACTGGAAGTAGTCGAGAACAACTGAAGCCATACCATACTCATACTTCCACAACCACAAAATATTAAGTAAACATCATATACCAAGCTTATAAGCTGAACAAACTTCATATTCCACAACTCTTATTTGTTTTTTATCCATACATTCCATAGAACTCACTGCTTATAATCTAAAAGCTTTACAACTGAAAATTTGGCCCTCATTTTTTAAAACTCATTTTTTCTCTGAACTCCTTTTTTAACCATAAATTTCGAGATTCACAACTTTTATCAATTTTTCAACCACACAATTCATCAATTTTTATCAAAATCTACTAAAAATCTAATTTTTATCTAATTCAAAGCGGGGCTTAGTTTATTATGCAACGTGAAATTTCCTAAATAGGATTTACACAAGCAACCATGCAAAGAACTATGACCTCATTAACAAACGACTAAATTAGACGCGTTAACTATGCACAGAATGCAAACTCGGCCATTTCCATAACCCAAGGAAAACTATGGACATGATTATAATTAGATACGAGCAGACAGCATACACGGTCAAATGATGTGCGCCCCTAGGAGCAAACAATGACTTTGATAACACAAACGATCCCATCTTTGCACAGCCATTTTCATTACCATGTTCTGTTAACAACTGAAGTCGTGAATTACATGTTTGAGCAGTATCCATTTTCTCATTGGGAATTCTTCCCTCTGGCTCAGGAACCTTGGAAGTTCTGTCAATATCTTTGCCAGCCTGCATTCAACAACTTAAATGTAAGAACAGGAAAAAAAAACGTCATTTTCTAAATCAAACTTATGGTCACGATGGCCTCTTAGCAAACTGTAATTCATAAGCATGGTGCCTGTATATCTACAGGAACAGTTATCAAGCTTGAGTGAACTGCATGTCTAACTTGTGTATCACAAATAGATAAACTAATCCATATTTTTTCAGATCTGTAAATGGAGCTCACCTCCATAACTGCTGAATCTTGTCCTTCTGTGCTGCTGTCATCTACAGACTTGTCAGTACATATAGACTGTGGTCCACGTTCCATCAACAGATGAATTCTCCTGGAGGCGGTTCCGTGTGCTGTTCCTGAAATTTGTCGATTTCGAGGCTGACGCAATTGAATCTTGATCCCAGTTCCACCAACAGAATCTGTACCATCTTTGATTGGATTTGAATGGTAGAGAGAGTCTTCAGGTTTGCAATATGAATCCCTAACAATATTGGCAGATGATGCATCTTTTTCAGTAGCATAATTTGGAAGAGAACCATCAGATCACAGAGCCAGGAAGAATCTTGAAGATGTTTGAACCTGCAGGAAGTCCATATCATTAATCGATCATGCTACTTGTACAAA